AATCAGACCGTCAAACCTCAGAGGAAAGGTAGGGGAAGGTGGGGGTAAGGGGGAGAGATCAACCAAAGGACTTATATGCTAGCATATAGACCTAACCAATGGACACAGACAACACAGGGGTGAGGGCATAAGTGGGGGGGATGGGGAGTAATGTGGGGATAAGGACACATATGTAATACCTTAATCAATAAAAAATACTGTGTCAAAAAAAAAGAAATTGAAGACACAAATAAATGGAAGGATACACCATGCTCACATAGGAGGGAGGGATTTATATTTGATCATATTACCCAAAGCAATTTACAGATTCAATGCAATTCTTATCAAAATACCAATATCGCCCTGACCAGTTTGGCTCAGTGGCTAGAGCAGCCGTGGGCAAACTACGGCCCGCAGGCCGGATCCGGCCTGTTTGAAATGAATAAAACTAAAAAAAAAAAGACCGTACCCTTTTATGTAATGATGTTTACTTTGAATTTATATTAGTTCACACAAACACTCCATCCATGCTTTTGTTCCGGCCCTCCGGTCCAGTTTAAGAACCCATTGTGGCCCTCGAGTCAAGAAGTTTGCCCACCCCTGGGCTAGAGCATCAGCCTGTGGACTGAAGATTCCCAGGTTCAATTCTGGTCAAGGGCATGTACCTTGGTTGAGGGCACATCCCCAGTAGGAGGCAGCTGATGGATGTTTCTCTCTCATGGATGTTTCTAACTCTCTATCCCTCTCCCTTCCTCTCTGTAAAAAATCAATAAAATATATATTTTTTTAAAATACCAATATCATTCTTCTCAGAACTAAAACAAATAATACTGAAATTTATATGGAACCAGAAAAGACCCCAAATAGCCAAAGCAATCTTGAGAAAAAGAACAAAGTTGGAGATATCATCCTCCCTGATTTCAAACTATACTACAAAGTTATAATAATCAAAACAGTATGGTGCCGGCACAAAAATCGACACATAGACCAATGGAACAAAACAGAACACATAAATAAATCCTCACTTATATCTTTCAACATTTTGAACATGCTATTCCATTCTTTCTTGAACTGTAGAGTTTTAGCTGAGTTATCCAGTGATTGCCTATTGGGGGATTCCTTTGTAGATTGTATTTCTTTCCCTGCCTGTCTTTAACAGTATTTCTTTTTTTAAAAACAACTCAAATTTATTCTATTACAGTTTTAGAAGTCAGCAGACACAACTGAGTCAACAAGGCTGCATTCCTTCTGATGGCTCTAGGAGATAATTTGTTTCCTTACCTTTTCTAATTTTTAGAAGCCACCTGCATTCCTAGGTTTAAGGCCCCTTCTTCTATCTTCAAAGCCAGCAGTGTAACATCTTCAAATTTCTCACTCTTGTTTCACCGTCACTCTCTTCCTCTCTCTGACTCTACTACCATCATCAAATCTCCTTTTCTGACTGATCTTCCTGCTTTGTGATTACATTGGCCCCATCTGAATAATCCAGAACAATCTCCCCATCTCAAGATAGCTAATAACACCTGTAAAGTCTCTTTTGCCATCTAAGATACCATAATCACAAGGTTTGGGAATTAGGACATGGATATATTGGGGGGAGGGGGTCATTATTCTGACAAACAGAGTACCTGTGCTCTATGTCTCCTTATGTGAACTTCAGTAATATTTTTCTATATTATTTATTTTTAATTAAATTTAGAGGTAACATTGGTTAATAGCAATATATAATTTTCAGGTGCACAGCAGTATAATTTGATACCTTTATAGTGTATAGCAGTGGTTCTCAACCTTCCTAATGCCGCCACCCTTTCATACAGTTCCTCATGTTGTGGTGACCCCCAACCATAAAATTATTTTTGTGGCTACTTCATAACTGTAATTTTGCTACTTTTATGAATAGTAATGTAAATATCTGATATGCAGGATGTATTTTCATTGTTACACATTGAACATAATTAAAGCATAGTGATTAATCACAAAAACAATATGTAATTATATATGTGTTTTCCGATGGTCTTAGGCGACCCCTGTGAAAGGGTTGTTCGACCCCCAAAGGGGTCGCGACCCACAGGTTGAGAACCGCTGCTCTATAACATGTTGACCAACATAAGCCTAGTTTCCTTCTTTACCATATTTTTTTATTTATTGCTGACACTATTACAGATGTCCCTCATCCCTCCCCCCACTTTAGCCACCTCCACCCAGCCCCTACACCCCCTCCTTCTGGCCATCACCACACTGTTGTCTGTGTCTATATATTTTATACTTTTTAGCAATTCACCCTCCTCCACCCCTTCTCTCTGGTAACCACCATTATGTTGTCAGTGGCTATGAGTTTGTTTTGTTTGCTTTATTAGTTTTTGTTACTTTTTTGCTTTTTACTCCACATATGAGTGAAAACATACATTTTTTGTCCTTTTCCACCTGTTTTATTTCACTTAGCATAATACTCTCAGGATCCATCCATATAGTCACAAATGGCTTAATTTCCTAGATCAGTGTTTTTCAATCAGTATTGATGATGATGTTAAGAATCACCTGGGATGTTTAGTACTCATAGAGCTGTTTCAGGTTTCCCCACTTGCCTACCAAGATATTTTGATTCATTGAATCTAAGACAGTGGTTCTCAACCTTGGCTGCACATTAGAATCACCTGGGAATCTTTTTAAAATCCTGATTTCTGGGCCTCATCCTCCGGAAATTCTGTTTCTTTGTTATGGGGTGGGGCCACAACATTAATAACAAAGAAACAGAATTTCCGGAGAATGAGGCCAGAAATCAGGATTTTCAAAAGATTCCCAGGTGATTCTAATGTGCAGCCAAGGTTGAGAACCACTGATCTAAGGTGAGGCTAGCAATTTATGTTTTAGGAAGTACCCCAGGTAAATTTATTATCAGGTAAGTTAAGGAAATAATGATTCTGTCCTCACACAATTGCCACCTACAACTTAGTGATTCTCAATGTGGGGGTCCCAGGACCAGCAGCATCAGTCTCCTGTGAGAACTTTTTAGAAATGTATATCCTCAGACCCCACGCTAGACCTGGTGAATCACAGTATCTTTTGGTGAGCCCCAGCAATCTGTACTTTAACAAGTTGTCCAGGTGATTCTAATACGTGCTAAAGTTTGAGAACTATTATATTTTTAATAACTTTTTAAAATTGATTTTGGAGAGGGAGAGAGAGAGAGAGATGGAAACATCAATGATGAGAGAGAATCATTGATCAGTGGCCTCCTGCACGCCCCCTACTGGGGATCAAGCCCACAACCTGGGCATGTGCCCTGACCAGGAATCAAACCCGGGACCCTTCAGTCCACAGGCCAACGCTCTATCCACTGAGCCAAACCAGCTAGGGCAAGAACTATTATATTAAACAAAGTCCAATTCTAGCCAACAACAAACAGTTTAACCCCAGAACTTCCAGGCACAAGATGATATAAGGTGAAGTAGCCTGGTAAAGCTCTCCCTCTCCCAAGAAGTATATTCACCAAAGATATGTCTCCAAGGGAGACCCTTTTAGAGAACCAAAAGAGGCTGGCTGACCAGAGGACATACTTTACTGCCAGAGCAGGGAGTTCTTGTCTAACAGGTTATGATATTCTTTTAACCAGAAACCTTATTTTTTCTACTTCCTCCCTTTTTAAAATGGTAGTTTCCCCCTGGTCATTTCTCCCCAATTGCATATTGGGTATGTTGGGGTGAAGGGTAGTTTATAATTTAACTGCAGGTGACGAGACTGCTAGGATGATGGATCTGAAGATGGCTGCATATCAACTAGAGATCTAAATGCTAAAATGCAGTAACTGGGTAAGACTAGGTTTTTCCCCTTTGAAAACATAAATTCACTACATGTAGGTGTGGGCATTTTTCAAAGTAGATACGTGGGAAGAAAGGTGTCCCTAGATGCTTGCTACCCAAAATAAGAAGCAATACTAGACATTTGTGATTGGTTCATGGCATTCACTCCCCGTGCCCTTGATTTTCCTAGGAATCCATTTGGTTCTAGGGAGATACATCTTAGGATTCGGGAATGGAACACATGGCCTGGCTAAGCCATTCAGTGCATTGCATTTAATCCACGAGACGTCAGTGGCTGATCCAGATATGTGACCTAAGCCATTTAAGAATGCATCACAGCGCACAGGTGATTTATTTTTGTCTAGACTGGAACTTCGGTAGCTTGGAACTGCTGGTCCAATTTTGCTACCATTGAGGAAAGGAAAACTGAGAATGAAATTGACATATGGAGTAGGGAAAACCCTAAATAATCACACTGAACCTGAGCCTCAATCAAACTATGCCTGAAGCCCATCTAACCTCTGGATTATTTTAGTTACATGAATTAATGATGTTTGGTAACTGTGTAAACCTGTTTAAAATAGGTTTCCTGTTACATGCAGTAAAGCATTATATTAGAAAAGGCAAATAAAAACTATCCTAAATTTGCATATGACAGTATATGTGAGTGCAAGTTGGAATAAAAAATATTGTTCATTTTTGGGTTACTTATTATATATATTACCTTAACTTTTTCCCACAGCTTCAATTTATAGTTGAGTTTCCCTTTAACTTACCTCAATAAAAATATGCAGGCCTCTCTCAAGGAGTTCCTTCCACAGAATCCATCAAGTTCACATACATTTCACTTTCTACTAGTTAGAAAAATTTGCCAGGCAGAAATGGTGGGTTTTCAGGGATGTGTAAGTTTTCATTAAACCAGATTTGGGTTTGGAGGTTTGAATTAACTACACCTCCTTCCCCTCTAGATTCTAAATCAACTAAAAATTACACACAGATCACCAGCCTGGTGTGGCTCAGTGGTTGAGGGTTGACCTACGAACCAGGAGGTCACAGTTCCATTCCCGGTCAGCGCACATGCCCAGGTTTCGGGCTCAATCTCCAGTGGGGGGCATGAAGGAGGCAGCTGATCAATGATTCTCTCTCATCATTGATGTTTCTCTCTCTCCCTCTCCCTTCCTCTCTGAAATAAATAGTAAAAAATACTCACAGGCATCAAAGTGGGATTAAATATCAGCTTTAATATATTGTTAAGTGAAAAAGCAAAATTCAGAACAGCATGTATAATATGCCACCATTAGTATAAAAAAACTGATATACACACATACATACATAATATGCTTGTACATACATGGATTATCTCTGAAAGCATACATAGTAACTGGTAACAGTGGTTACCTTTGGAAAGTGGGACTGAGGGACTGAGGTAAGGGTGAGAAGGGGGAAAGAAAATTAGTTTTTACTTTATAACCTTTAGTACCATTTCATTTTTACCAGAAACAGGTGTTTTTCTCCAAAAACAATTTATATATTAACATTTTTAAAAGAAAAAAATTGATACCAGCTTTATTACTGATAGATCTGGACTGGAGCACATGCTTTGGACCTGAGCCTGAAATGTAGTTCTACCCCAAGTCGAAAGTAGACATTTACTCAGCCATGTAGTGAAGGGGCTACCTTCTTTCCCATTCCTTGCTGTGAGAAAATGAGCTGAAGAGCCAAGAAGGGACTAGGCTGCTTATCCATAATAACCCTTTTTTCAGTTTTACCAAGTTATTCCTCCTCCCAGATGTAAGACTGAATGAGGGGCAAGTGGAGGTGGGTAGAAGTTTTCTCTCAAATACTTGTGAGAGTCCTTTATTTTTTGTCTTGAGTCAGGAACATGGAGAGAGATATAAGATAGATCACATCATATCCATGGACTTTTTGTTCTCTAAGCCATAGTGGTCAACACCCAAGACTATGGCTGTCCCCTATGGGGAAGACCAACATTATCTTAGGAATATCCTGCTTCCATCTGTGGAAGACTGGTGAGCAGTTCTGTTTTTGACCCTAGAAGGCTCTGAAATAAGTCAGAATAGAGCAGTAATTAAAATTAATTCCAAGGTTACATTATACCCCAGGCTGAAAATTCACTCACTATTTTATCCCTAATTTATAATTATGTCCAACCACATTATATGATTTAGTTTACAAAGATTACACAATGAACCCCAAAGATAGCATATTAAAATACTCCAAAAAATTAGAATATCAACTACATAATGAAAATGCCTTAATTTGAACTATATAAAACCCACTCTAATGATTAAACTCCAAGGGAGAGAGGAATGCTCCTAATTAAATTTCTATTTGAAAGTCCAAAGGAATTAAAGTCCAAAATTTTGCCTTTCACAATTTCTTGTTTTTCTCATTTCAGCCATACGGATCCCACAGAGACGTCTGGACAGATGTACGGTTCCTTCAGCAGCCACAGCCTGGGCTGTCTCCATCTTGATTAGGTGTAGTTCCTTCAGGACTTTAGAAGCTGAATTAATCTAACCCCACAACTGCATGTTATATATTTTTAAGAGTCCACAGTATCAATAGGTCAAAAGATGACCACAGGCCTTACCGGCATTGCTCAGTGGTTGAGCGTCGATCTATGAACCAGAAGGTCACGGGTTCTATTCCCACTCAGGGCACATGCCCAGGTTGGGGGCTCGATCCCCAGTGTGTGGCGTGCAGGAGGCAGCCCATCAATGATGCTCTCTCATCATTGATATTTCTATCTCTCCCTCTCTTTACCTCTCTGAAATCAATGAAAACATATTTCAAAAAAGATGACCACAGTATCATCTTCACACCCCAAAATGAGAAAGCACACTAATTCCCAGCCACTGGAAGCAAACTTATGTTCCCAGGACTTAATACATAGGACAGAGAAAGCATGGGAGAAAAGAGACTGTTTTCTTGGTTTCATCCTCAGCAGGATCTAGTCTGTCTGTGCCAGCAGTCCAGAATCCATGACCTGTGAACTTAAACTAACTTGGGAGATATTTCCCAAGTGTTTGATTGTATTGCCACACGTCCCAGCCCCATATTTGCAGAAGTCCAAGGCCTGTCTGTTACTGTTAATGGAGCTTGTGCAGAGACCCAGTGTGAAAATGTTGGCTTTTGCCAGGTGCTTCTCTCCAAAACCTTCCTTATTTTTAACCTTTTCCCCTAGGCTTTGGTTAGCCTTTACCAGTGCCTTCAATAATGGAAGGTACAGTACCCATTCCATTACTTACTTTTCTGCTGCAGTAGGGCTCACCCTTTTCTGCAGATGAGTATCTTAGGAGCAGCCAACAAAGAGGAGAAAGTTGAAAAACAAAACGCTAATAAGTACCCATTGGATTTCTATCTACCAATGCCAGCATTACGCTCTTAAAACATCATTAAGCCTATTGATCATCTGGCACTGATTCTAATCTATGTGTTCCATAGTTCTCCTGGGACAACATAAAAGATGAGCCCACCAGGTCATACGAGGAAGTCTTTCTTAGTTCTAGCAAGTGTCTTGCCCACCTCATATGCTGGGACTCAAAAGTTCCCTAAGAATCAAAACGAAAACTTAATCTAAAAGTTCTCAGAGTATCTCTCGGTATAGGAAAGAAATCTGTATCTCAGCCTGACTCCAGGTTTTGCTCTTTTAATTTTGAGGTCCTGGACCAACCTGACAACACTTGATAAACTCAGGCTTTACCGTGTGACTGAGAACTCTAGCTAAATCCTGGTTTAATGTCCCATTGGGTTGGCAAAGCCTACTTGTGCTAAAGTCTGCCTGCAGGGCCTGTGTTTGTTAAAACCCACTCCATGTCTACAGGTCCTACCCAGAGTTATTGCAGACAACAGAGGCTCTAATACCATTGATGAAAAACCTTGATTTCTCCACTTGGGAGTTCGGTTCCCAAATGCTTGGCCTCTTATTAATTTCATAAGGTTTCTCGGCCTATACTTATATACTAAAGTGAAAAGTAATTACCCTCTTGATTTTGCAACAAGTTGAGCAATAGATGTAAGAACCAGAGAGGGAGCAATACGTTAGTCTTACTCTCAGTACAGATCGAATTGAAAATGCAACTTGGACAGGAGACCAAAATGGCTTCCCACTCTTCCTCACATTACACTTGGAAGCTACCTAGAGGGAAGAGTTAAAGTTGCAAAGAAACTTACCCAGCCAGTCATACCTAATATCTCCAGAAGCTTCATAGTTCAATGAGTAGAGAGAGTCCGAGCGCCCAAAAGAATGAGGCAACAGGTGTTCACCTACATTTAAACTATTAACACCAGCAAAGATAGAAGTGTGGGCCAATGGATGGCAGACTTTACCCTTCTCACTAATTAGAGAAATCAATCATTCTCCTGTGGGGAGGAACCTGTAAAAAAGGGTGGAGAGAAGGGCAAAAGGTTTCTTCCAAAAATGTCTGCGTTTCAGTTCCTTTTTCTTTGGCCAGGCAAAAAGCATGCAGAAAGCGAGAAGATGGTTCTTACAAATTGGAAAGCAATCAAGACTGTGTGTGCACGGATTTTACAAATAGTCTCACATATTTGGCAAATTTCAAAATGACTTCTAAGTTGTTTTTACCAAATCGTAGACATAGATATGGAAATCGTCGTCAAATTTGATGAAGTACACAGAGGGTTTGGCTTCTACCTGATGAATGACCATGCCAGTTCTCTTGGAGCCATCATCTTTGGCATATTCCACCTGTTTACCTACTAGGCTGTCTATGACTTCTCCTGGCTCCCTCTCTGCAGGAGAAGAATCATTGGCATCGGGAAGGATGCGTAGGTCACCGTCTTTATAATCATCTAAGAGCTGGTACATATATAAAACAGGATCCTTCTCATAGGTAATGTAAAACCATGTTTTCATGACAGGTGCCTGAGCCAAGACCATCCCCCTCCATTCATTTTTGGAACCTTCCTCTGTCTCAAAAATATGTTCCACGGCTTTGCCGATCAGAATTTCTGTTAAGTGTGAATCACTGATTGTAGATGATGCAATTCTATTAGGAAAGACTTCAAGTGATGACACCCTTTCATCGTTATGCAGTTCCAATCCATAAACACAGTCAAAGCCATCATATTTGATAAGATACAGAGAGGGATTTACAGGTACCTGATCCAGAACGGTTCCCTTCCACTGTACTAGAGGCTCGTCTCCGTCTTTCCATCCGTGCCGAATTCTGCAGCCCACGATGTTCCTCCGAGGCTGCGAGGGGGGTCTGCTCCTGTGTCTCTTGTGTGCAGCCTTTCTCTTCATCACGGAAACGGGCACACCGGCATGCCTTGAGCCTGTTCTGGACCGCGGCTCTGCAGCCGCCTTGGCGAACGGCGGCTTCATGCCTGAGAGGAGCACGGCGGCAAGGCAGGCCAAGAAATGGAATGGAGACAAAATCAATTCCAAGTATGACACGGTGAGCTTTGTCTCCTAATTAGTGCACTCCGTGCACCCACGCCTAAGTTTCTCCTGGAAGCTGGAAATCAAGGTATCCTGGCGTGTGCCTGCAGTAACCTTCCTCCCCGGTTCGTTCCAGCTACGCAAGAGAGAGAGAGAGAGAGAGAGAGAGAGAGAGAGAGAGAGAGAGTTGTCGTTAGGGTCAAAGAAATAGGGGGCATCCTCTATTCCTCCCACCCGGCTTCCAACACTGTGCCAAGTGGCACAGACTCCCCAAAGCCTCACGTGCCCAAATCCAGCACTTTGCTACCTTCGCTGTGTGCCTGAAGGGGAGAGATGATCAGCAGGCGCCAAGAAGGGAGCTCGCCAAAGCTGGTGGAGGAGGATCCGTAGACGAAGTGCGTGGCAGGCAGGCGAGGAGGATGGCGGCTGCGTCTCCAGCACGGAGCTCAGGGGCCCGCTGCGTCCCAGTCGGCAGCAGAGGCCCCTGTGCCACTTCGGGATCCCACCAGCCGCTGCTGCTGCAGCAGTCTCCTCCCTCTCCGTATCTCAGCTTCCTGCCAGGAGAGTGGCCTCCCCTTCCTGCCAAACAACGTGTGCCCTCCTCCCCCGACTCTCACGCCCACCTCTGCCCAGAGCTTGGGAAGCGCTTCTTGGTTCCTGGACCTGCCCCTTTCCAAATCAGGAGCCGCCCAGCTCGCATCCCCCCTAGCGTGTCTTTCTCCAGTTCAGAGCCCCCGGGCTCCCCACTCCCACACTACCTTAGCCCCACCTCGGTGCCCCTGCCCCATCTGCTTTCCATCTTCTAGGAATTCGCCCTTTCCTTTACCCCGTGCTTTTCTGGAGTTATTCTTTATATACAGAAACCTGCCCCTCCTGTCATTTAAAGGGATTTGTGGTAGAATGAGAGAAATGCACTGGTGCTCAGTCTGCCATCTTGACCCAATCTCTAGGTAATTTTAACTCTCTGGTCATTCCCAGATTTGACTTCTTGAGGATAATTTTTTTTTCTTTTCTCTTTCTCTCCTTTTTTTCACGATTGCAAAAGAATTGTCTTCACAGTGTGGGCATGGTGCAAAACTCAGAAAATTGACATGAAGAAAATCAAGTGTAAGCTCACCTCCCATTCCCCACATCTCAGAGCAAACTATGAACATTTTACATTGCCTTTTTAATAAGCACCTACAAAACTGGAATAATTTTGCATATGCATTTTCATGGTATAGTCTTTTCCACATGGGATAGATATTTGCTCAGTTTATTAGATATTGTCTTATACAGTTTTGTAGTACCTTCATTCAAATCAGCATAAGGATATTTTCATAATTTAACCATTCTCTCCAATCAGATGTTTAGTTTTGTAAACAAAAGCTTATAAATGATGCTTGCACAGGAATTATTAATCTGTTCTTTTTTATTGTTTAATATATTACATATGTCTCCTTTTCCCCCGATTGACTCCCCCCCACCTCTCCCACCTCCAAGGACAAGCCCCCACCGCCCCAGAGTCTGTGTCCACTGGTGATGCTAATATGCATGCATACAAGTCCTTTGGTTGATCTCTTACCCCCTCCCCTGCCTTCTCTCTGAGGTTGGACAGCCTGTTCAGTGTTACCTTGTCTCTGGATCTATTTTTGTTCATCAGTTTATGTTGTTCATTATATCCCACATATGAGTGAGATCATGTGATATTTATCTTTCTCCAACTGGTTTATTTCGCTTAGCATAATGCTCTACAGGTCCATCCATGCTGTTGCAAATGGTAAGAGTTCCTTTTTTACAGCAGCATAGTATTCCATTGTGTAGATGTACCACTATTTTTTAATCCACTCATCTGCTGATGGGCACTTAGGCTGTTTCCAAATCTTAGCTATTGTAAATTGTGCTGCTATGAACATAGGGGTGCCTATATCCTTTCTGATTGGTGTTTCTGGTTTCTTGGGATATAGTCCTAGAAGTGGGATTACTGGGTCGAATGGGAGTTCCATTGTTAACTTTTTGAGGAAACCTCATACTGTTCTCCACAGTGGCTGCACCAGTCTGCATTCCCACCAGCAGTGCACAAGGATTCCTTTTTCTCCACATCCTCTCCAGCACTTGTCCTTTGTTGATTTGTTGATGATAGCCATTCTGACAGGTGTGAGATGGAACCTCATTGTTGTTTTGATTTGCATCTCTTGGATGATTAGTGACTTTGAGCATGTTTTCATATGTCTCTCGGCCTTCGGTATGTCCTCTTTCAAAAAGTCCCTGTTTAGGTCCTATGCCCATTTTTTGATTGGGTTGTTTATCTTCCTTTTGTTACGTTGTATGAGTTCCCTATAAATTTTGGAGATTAAACCCTTATCTGAAATAGCATTGGCAAATATGTTCTCCCATGCAGTGGGCTTTCTTGTCGTTTTGTTGATGGTTTCTTTTGCTGTACAGATGCTTTTTATTTTTATGTAGTCCCATTTGTTTATTTTCTCTTTAGTCTCCATTACCCTAGGAGCTGTATCGGTAAAGATATTGCTACGACGTATGTCTAATATTTTGCTGCCTATGGAGTCTTCTAAGACTTTTATGGTTTCCCTTCTTACATTTAAGTCCTTTAACCATTTTGAGTTTGTTTTTGTGTATGGTGTAAGTTGGTGCTCTAGTTTCATTTTTTTGCATATATCTACCAAATTTCGCAGCGCCCTTTATTGAAGAGACTGTCTTGACTCCATTGTATGCTCTTGCCTCTTTTGTCAAATATTAATTGAGCATATTGGTTCGGGTTGATTTATGGGGTCTCTATTCTATTCCATTGATCTATATGTCTGTTCTAGTGCCATCACCAGGCCGTTTTGATTACGGTGGCTTTGTAATACAGCTTGATATCTGGTATTGTGATCCCTCCAACTTTGTTCTTCTTTCTCAGGATTGCTGTGGCTATTCTGGGTCTTTTTTTTTATTCCAGATGAATTTTTGGAGAGTTTGGTCTAGGTCTGTGAAATATGCCATTGGTATTTTAATGGGGATTGCATTGATTCTATAAATTGCTTTGGGTAGTTTGGACATTTTAATGATGTTGATTCTATCAATCCATGAACATGGTATGTTCTCCCACTTGTTTATATCTTCCTCTATCTCTTTTTTCAATGTCCTATAGTTTTCTGAATACAGGTCTTTTACCCCCTTAGTTATGTTTATTCCTAGGTATCTTAATTTTTTTGGGGTGCAACGTTAAATGGGATTGTTTTATTAGTTTCTCTTTCTGTGAGTTCATTATTAGTGTATAAAAACTCCATAGGTTTCTAGGTGTTAATTTTGTATCCTGCTACATTGCCAAATTCATTTATTAAGTCTAGTAGTTTTTTGATGGAGACTTTGGGGTTTTCTATGTACAATATCATGTCATCTGCGAATAAGGACAGTTTTACTTCTTCTTTTCCAATTTGAATGCCTTTTAATTCTTCTTCTTGTCTGATCGCTAGTACTTCTAGTACAATGTCGAACAGGAGTGGTGAAAGTGGGCATCCCTGTCTTGTTCCTGTTCTTAGGGGAAATGGGTTTAGTTTTTGCCCATTGAGTATGTTGTTGGCTGTAGGTTTGTCATATAGGGCTTGTATTATGTTGAGGTGTGATCCCTCTATTCCCACTTTGCTGAAAATTTTTATCAAGAAATGATGTTGCATTTTTTCAAATGCTTTTTCTGTGTTGATTGATATGATTATGTGATTTTTGTCTCTCAATTTGCTTATGTGGTATATCACATTTATTGATTTGCAGATATTGTACCATCCTTGCATACCTGGAATAAATCCCACTTGGTCATGGTGTATGATCTTTCTAATGTAATCTGTTCTTTTGAACAGAATAATCTAAATACAAACCTATAATCAAAATGATTGCTATAATTATAATGGGAATTTAGTATTTTGACACTGAGTTTATAAATCTATGGGAAACACCATCCCCCCCCCATTACAGCCATCTTAGTGGGTATGAAGTGGTATCTGATTGTGGTTTTAATTTTTATTTCCCTGATGACTAATAATGATTACCATCTTTTCATATGTTTGACATTTGAGTATCTTTGGAGAAATGTCCACTGAAGTTATCTGTTCATTTTTAAATTGAAGTGTTTCTGTTGAGAAATCAGCTGAAAGCATTATGGGAGCTCTCTTGTATGTAACTTAATATCTTTCTCTTGCTGCTTTTAAGATTCTCTCTTTGTCTTTAACCTTTGCCATTTTAAATTATGATGTGTCTCGGGGTGGGCCTCTTTGGGTTTATCTTGATAGGGACTCTTTTTGGTTCCTCAACTTGTGTAACTTTTTCCTTCATCAGGTTAATGAAGTTTTCAGCCATTATTTCTGCAAACAGGTTCTCAACCCCTTGTTCACTCTCTTCTCCTTCTGGTACCCCTATGATACAGACATTGTTACACTTGATGTTGTCCCAGAAGTCCCTTAGACTTTCCTCATTTAAATAAGTATTTCTCTTTGTTGTTCTGCTTTGGTGCTTAGTGTTATCTTGTCCTCTAAATGGCTGCTTTATCTAACCTGCTGTTGATTCCTTTTAGAGTTCCTGTATGTTTGGTGTATTATTTCAAGAGATTTTTAGTTTAAGTGAGAGGAACTGGTAGGAAAGGGGCTATTCCATCTTGGCCATAACTGGAAGTCCCTCAGTACCATTAATACACTTTAGGGTATCAGGCCAGGAAGATCCAAAGGCTGCAGATTCCACTAATGTAATTCTACGACATGATAATTTGCTCTGTGCTGACGATCATGAGGTAAAAGGCACAAATATATTGCTTGGTATAACATAAAGTTGACAAAAGTATCAAGAAAGTACTTTGCATTTTTTATAAGCTATAAAAATGACCATTACCTGACTAAGTAATTCTACCACTAAGACCTATAACAAAGAAATAATTGGAGGTGCAATAGTGACTTGATGTAGAGGGCATTTATTTTTTAAAACTACTGTTATATTCAATATAAATCCCCAGTGATATGCTAATGGTTATGTGATGGCACATCCATATATTGTCCATCCAGTATGTCCCATTATGCAGGTAATGCTTCAAATATTATTGAATGACATAGAAACACTTAAAATATAATATGTTAAACATCAGTACATATAACCTGTAACAGAACACAGAAACAGCACATAACACATATTTACCTGCTATCCCAATGTTGTAGAAATATTGAATATGTATTTATATATGTGTGTTTAGTATATACATGTATATATTTTGGTACAGTGTTTTATTACTTTTGAATATGAAAGTAGTCCATGATCATGGTAAAATTTGAGAAGTGCAATAGAGGTATGTATTGAAAATTTGCCTGATATAAACATTCAGCAAGGTGTCCTTACCATGCAGCAAAATGATTATATTAGTTGAAATGGTTTTGGAGACAAACCACAGAAACCCAACTCAAAGTAGATTATGTAATAAATACAATTATTTTCTCATGTAATGGAATGTCCCAAGT